CGTTTATGTCACATTACAGGGCGTAAATAGTCAATGTTCGTATGCGTCTTCGTCTAAAGTAGCTTTAATATGGTTTATTTTAAATAATTAACTATCTCTCATTATTAAGATTCTCGAAAAAAAGCTAAATATAAATATTGAAAGAATTTGATAATTGAATAAAGAAAAAAAACAAATAAAAATGCTTATCCAGGTCGAAAATGAATCTCCGGAAATACTAATCAGAAGTTATAAGTATAATATATCGTTGGAAAGCTGAGAATTTTAGAACAAAAAAATTATTCAACATAGAAAGTTGTATAAGGTAACGGAGAGTGGCAAAAAATTATAAATAATAATTTTTGAAAACTAATAATATTTAATGTAAATCACATGTTTTCGAGGAAATTAAATGAAATTTACTAACTAAATGTAAACCTTTAAAATACTTTTAAGTTTGAAAAGAGAATTTGAAATCAAACTAACCAAGGCAATGTTTAAAAACTATTTCGTTGTGCGTGTGTGAAAGAAGAAATAAAATATAAAATCATTTCGTGGATGTATAAAGCATATGTTTATAACCTTAAATACATTCTAGACTTGATATTATATTTAAATAATTAGGTATCAACATCCGTTAATTCTGAAATATTGTCATGTAACTTTTTAGAAAATTAAATTAGTAAATAATTTGATGAATCTTTCCTTTGTGATATTCCAACAGTATCCACTACTATTATATTGTAATTATGTGAAAGAAGAAGTGAAACATAAAAATATTTCATAGATACGTTTATAACCTTAAATATATTTTCTAGTGTTGCCCAAATGGTCCTTGATAGATTAAGTCTTTGATCTTGAGCACCCATTCTTGGGATTGGTCTTGGTCTTGCGCAAGAATTTCGCAAAACTCTTGCAGTTACCTATTAGCTTATTACTATAGAGATATTACTGTAATTCTTTAGATAGAAGAAACCTAACTAAGCCTCTAGAGTCTCGCTTTGTCCTTCACACGTGGATGAAATTGCTGGACTCGGAGCTCCCATGGCTGATTGTAAATATTGTAATTAAGTATGAATGTTTTTCTTTTTTATATATTAAGTATGAATGTTTTTCTTTTTTATATATTTATTTGTTTTACTTATGACTTATTTAATTTGCTACCAATTTCTGTATTTTTTTTTTTTAATTTTATTTCAAGCTACATTTATTTGGTTTTATAGTTTTTACCTTTTTTATATAGATATATATTTTTATTTTTTATTTATTTATTTATTTTTATTTTTTTATTGTATTGTATATATAGTATGAATGGACCTCACTCAGCTTTAGTATTCAGTGCTCTTAAATGTGGCAAAATGTATTACTTCTCAATAAAAAGATTTAAAAAAAAAAACTATGCCCCAACGAAAAAAATAGAAGAGTTTAGTGCAAAAGAATATTGATTATATCAATTCTTTACATATATTAATTAAATGTTTCAAGCATTAATTACAATTTGCCTTAATTTTTATTTAAAAAATTGATTTATTTTACCAGCCTTGGTCTTGATCTTGCAACAGTTAGGTGGTCTTGGGCAACACTAATATTTACTGTAGTTTAATAACTCTAGATCTGATATTATATTTAAATATTTAGGTATTAATAGTCCGTTTATTCCGAAAAATCATCATGCAATCGTTTAGAAAATTTAATTAGTGAATAGTTTGATGAAATTTCCTTTTGTGATATTCCAGCAGTATCCACTTTCAATTAGTGTCACAACTTTTGACCTGTCTATGACAGACAATGCAAATCTCTTAATTCCATTTTTATTAAACTTTGTTATGGTAAATAGCAGTTTAATAAATAATAGTCGTACAATCCATAAACAACTGGTGATATAATAAACAGGACTTTTGTTATTTTAATTGTATTTATGATTTGTTAGCTGTAATTTTTTAGCTTTAGCTCACTTAAAAATGCAATTCAAAAATTTTATAATAGCCCAACATGGCCAGAAAATAATTTCTATTCAATGTTGAGCAGTAAGTGAAAGTTGTGTGTTGCGCGCACCAGATTAGTATGAGACAATTATATTTCCACTATCTCTGGCTACTTATGTTAAATTAAAATATACTGTCAGCATTTCTGTGAGCCCTTTTCTGAAATCATAAATAGTTCATTACTTTGAAAGTATGATGATTCAATTTTAAATAATTAATGTGAAATTTAAAAGTACGAAAGGAACCTCATTAATCATCCTACTAATATTTGATAGCCATTCCACTTTGGAAAGTTTTGTATTGCAATTGGTCTAGTTTTCTTTCAAAAGACATTAATATTAAACTCCGAGCTTTTATAAATGTTGTTTTAGGCAAGTTTTCCATTGCCCTCTACCTCTTAAAAAGGACAACTTCGTAAGTAATGTCTATTTTATATTTTAATTATTTTATACTATATTTTATCTATAGATACATAGATAGTTGATAGACTCTCCCCCATTGGTATGTAGAACTTAAAAAATAAAACAAATGTAACAGTGCTTTATATTTTTGTTGTGATAACACATTGACTTATCGTAGGAAAACGTTCTCTATGTTCTTTTTTCAAAGTCATTGTTAAATATTTCATGTTTTAATATAATGTACCGTCAAAACTTTATTATGGATAAAATTAATAAAAGATGCTATAAAATTCTATTAAACTGTATTGTTAGCACTTTAGGGCTAATGATTTGTCTTAACATAGGGATAATATCTTCCCCTTTCTACACGAATCACTTAAATTGAATCTGATGAGGTTAGTAAATATTTAAATTTTCTCTTCAAAAGAAATGATAATTTATTTAAAAGTGTTAGCACTAGTAGATATATTTTAAACAGTATTTCATATTCTTAAATCGGTTATTTCAGTACCGAAAATTTCCTCTTTTGTCTTTGTTCTGAATCCACAGCATGCTAATCAATTCATATAAGACATAATATACATAAAGTTTTTACTTTCCCCAACAATAATTCCCTATATTAAATTCACTAATTAAAATTTGCAAAATTATCTTTATATAAATATGTGTCCCGTAGGCAAAGTACACCATCATATCACGTTTTTATATTTGTTGAGTGGAACCAATTTTTCATAACTTTGAGGTATTAAAATTTGTTTCTTAGTTACCAAATCTGCACCACGCAGGTAATGGACACAATGTTACATATTTTTATTTTTAAGAGGAGGAGTTCCGTTTCCATAACATTTGTTTCTTAGTTACTAAATTGTTTAATATAAAACTTGACGTGGTGCCCTTTATCTACGGAGGATAGAAATAGATAAAGGTAAAACAGTTCAGTCTCTTTTTCTCTTCTGTTTATCAAAAGAATTTTTTGTAGTTATTGACAAGTTTTAGCGTGATCAATAAAAAAAAAAAAATTGTGAACAGTGTACATAAATTCTTCACCATTTGCTTTGAAATTTTGGTACAACGTTGCAATCAAATTACGTCATGTTTTTATATGCATTTCGTTATCAACCTTCCGTTTAGAAATGGCGACCGAGAAACGTGAGTTCTTATAGAGTGTAGCGCAATAACGATTGGATCGATTTTAATGAGTCTTGGCTAAATTCTTGTCCTTGAAGTTCTTTTAATTTATGTATACAAAATACTTCACCGAAAAGAGGCTGAAAAAAGTAACTATGGATTCAGAATTTCATTCACAAATAATTCAAAAAGTACAGAATGTTTGGTTCATTAAACATATGAGCAACTGAAAGCTACCAGAATTCTATACCACATGAAAATCGAAATCGAAAAGAATCGGTCCGATAAGATATTTTCATTAATTTTTTTCGGATTATTTTTTTTAAGAGAGCTCATTTATGACAACTTTATATTTGGAATATAGATATAGTATGAGTACGATGTTGTAATAAACCAAAGTGGGTTCAAATATTTTTTAAAGAAACCAAGTTGCTAATTCACACCTGGAAAAACCTCAATGAATTTACATACCTATCGAAAAACATTTTGGCTCAAATTCTTACCGAATTAGCAAAGTGGTTTCAATTTTTTTTATTTTTTTTAACACAGTCACGATGTATTCATTGCATTTTAATTTGTCAATAAATCAAAACATATCTATTTTTTTTTATACGTTAACTACCAGCAACTCGACTCATAGTGGTCCCAAACTCGATCTTTTCCGTCATAATTCTGTCACTCCGTTATTTTTCATCAGATTTTTTTTGTTTTATAGCATCAATACACTCCATTATCCTTTATTAATATAAGTATTATCAGGAATAATATATGAAAATTAAAAAACAAATGACAATATAGTTGATAATGTGAGTTATGTTATAAAATTCTATAATTTTTTTTCTCAAGAAATTCATATTTTATCTTATATATGTATATGTATATATACATATATGTAGAGATTACATATATAGACACACATAAAATTGAAATAAGATATTATAACTTATGCTTTTTTTTAATCTTGGCACATTTTTTAAAACATTTTTTTGTTTCATTTCTATAGAAAATTATAGTAAAACAGGCATTTCTTATAACATTTGGGTGAAACCAGTTCATTCTTCCTAATCCCTAATAAACCTCCATCTCCCCTCACAGGGGACAGCCGAGTGCAGAGGGTTAAGTGTAAAGAATGTTTTTAGCAGTATGCTATACTTTTAAGCAATAAATCACAACCATTCTGAGGATGTGAGGGCCCAGCCTCGACTATGTTGCTATAAAGTGGTAGTATCAGTTGGATATTCCTGGAAATCGCGCAGGTCTGTTTAACTAAAGTATCGTTTGTCCTCTTCTGAAAAACAGTCAAAAAGTATAGCATATAGATAAAAATTTACACACATAATTTTAGTAATATGATACATTTAAAATTAAAAAAAAAAGGTATGTAATTCATTGTTTGTTTTTTTATTGTATTTTATATAGTATATCATATTTTTGCTTGGTATAGCTTTTCTTGAGATAAGTTTATTTATAGAAATCTTCTTAATACAGAATTTCACTTGTTTTGTTTACAGGTCAATGGTGATGGTTCCTCCTTTCCAATATACTCGGGAGCAAATGAAATGGTTAGGCATACTGGAATTGCCAAATGCACCGAGACCTCTACGAAATGTTATAACATTTGTTGTGGTAGCTTTGTGTTTTAACAGTAATTTATCTTCGTTCCTTTACTTTCTGCTTGAAGACAAACCATTCTTCGAGAAGACCGAGAGTATACTTAATGGTATAGGTTGCCTCCATGTCTTTTCTAAAGCATTTGTATTGCCATTTAAAAGGAAAATTCTGCTGTCCGTCATGTCTGATCTGGACGATATGTCAGTCGACAGCAATAGGTTTGAAGAATTCAGAAGGCAGTGTGATAGAAACATAATGCTGTCTCGCAAGATCCCGCAGACAGTCCAGATGTCGATGTGCGCTCTCCTGTTTTGCGGTACCATCGTGAGTATAGTGCAGTACACAACGCAAGGGACTGTGTCGGCCCCTTTACAGTTGTATGTTCCCTTCAAGGACTACAACATTCTCCTAACCGTAATCTACAATTACTTTCTTGTTCTGCCATCGACGTTTATTTTTTCGGTCATGGTGTCAACTCTTATCGCCCTCTCGTTGAACATTTCCTGCCAGATATCGTATCTTATTATGAAGTTAGAGAACTTGGGGACTGACCCTTCTTCAAATGAAATAGACAGTTGTATAGTGCTCCACCAAAAAATTATGAGGCAGGTATTAAGAACATTATAATGATCTTAAAAAGCAAAATGTCTATATTATATAGAATTATATAGTTAAATATTTTTGTTGATTTCAAAAAGCTCTATCCAACAAGAACATTAGGTGAAATTGGGAAATCGATTTCTTTATGGACTCAATACGACCCAAGGGCCAAAACGTGTGGAGATCCCAGCTATAATACCTCAAAGAGAATCTCTACAATGCGATAATTTATTTGGCGTATTAAAATACAAAATAAAATACTTTTTTGTATTTTTTTATCTTGGAAAGAAAATACAAATAAAAAATTTTTTTTGTATTTAAAAAAAATACAATTACAAACAATGTATTTTATATTTTACTACTTAAAATACAAAATAAAAAACAAATTGTATTTTAAAATATTTTATTTGAAATATTGCTCAGCTATGCTCAATAATTTAGATCAGGGTTCTCCAAACTATTTGGCCCACGGACCACATTGAGACCTCCACCAAGCCCCATGGGCTGAAAAAAAGAATCTTATAATGAAAATGGTAATTTAATTTGAAAATAATTTGTCATATCTTGGAAGATTTTATTCACACAACTGTAGTTTTGGAATGGAATAAAATCAATTAGTTAATGTATTTATAATTTAAATACCTTCCCAACAGAAGAAGAAAAGAAAAGACTTACGAAAACCGTAGATATTGAAAGAATATCTGAACATTTTTTTTTTTTTTTTGATAATTTATATTTTTGTTTATTTATTGATTCATAGGTACTATCGGACCTAAACATTAATTTTATTTTTAAATATTATCACATCATTATAAATGTTCTCAATTGAGACAAATTGTAACACTTCTCAATAAATAATTTAAACAAATATATTATCTGTAAATGTTTAATTATTTTATGGTTTATTTCCAAGTGGTTTATAAAAAGTCCAGCTTTAAGCTTTATGTATTTATTTAAAACACGATATCCTGGATTCATTGTGATGTTTTGAAAGTTTATGAATAAATTATCAGGTATTCGATTAAATTTTTTATTGAGTTTAATCTTCCATCAAAGTTGGAAGACAATGAATTCAGCACTGTATCGTGCACTTATTTTTAGTGGTTGTTAAACATTATTAGCATTTAAACGATTATTTATTTATTTTTTTTTGTATGATGTGATATTAAATAAACTGGAATCGCAAAGGATGTGTTTTAAAATACTTATTTTACTAAGTGGTTTTAGCAATAAATTGAACTATTATAATAATAGTCTATATTATAAGAAAATTAAAAAAAATAATTAAAATATTTTTTTGTAGCTACGAACAGAATGTAACCAGTAATCATTCATTTCAGGGTTGTTACAAACGTGAATTCCTTAATTTCTGGCTTATTGTTCTTCGAATACTTACTGACGTCCATGCAGTGTTGTTTATCAGGATTCCAGCTGCTTGCTGTAAATATTCAATTATGTAAAGTATTAATCTATTTAGAAAAATTGTTTATTTTTGTGATTTTCTTCCCCTTTATTAGAATAAGAAGAATGATGGTATTGCCGAATTTCTCTACCACTGTACATTCTTTGCCATCTCAGTTACATTCTCTTCTGTCAACTGTTACTGCGGAAACATCATAAAACTAAAGGTAAGGATTACCATCGGATTATGCGTTGCCAATATAACAGCACAAGTCGTTCAATAACTGTTATAATAATTTCTTAAGGTGAGATTTGGAGTGAAAAATATTAAAAATTTTGTCTTTTCTTAAGATACTAAAAGTTAAATTATAAAGAAGGTCGGACAGGTCTTAAATTGTCAGACGAACATCGTATTATGCACAGAGCGCTAATAAAGAGTATTTGAAGTTTGGGAAATGAATGATTAATAAGGTGAAAATTACCTACATTTTTTAAATTCTTCGCATCAACAAAACAAAAAATCAATTCATCGTTCATCGCATAGAATCTTTTTAGTTTTTTTAACTCAAACTCAAATTACTGAATGGTCTAAGATTTGCAAGGTTTTTATAGCCTACATCTCATTTGCGTCGGCCTATTGAGACAATAGAGTCTAATTTTAATCTTAAACTTCTCGAATGATTATAAACTGCATTGCAGTAACTGTAAGAACGATTTTGAGAAGAAATAGCAAATCGTGTAAATATGACAGACATTAAAGATAAACTTATATTTAATATTATTATTTTTTTTTAACCGATTGTTACTGGAACTTAGCTATATTCAGTGCGAAAATGAATTTAATATTCACAGCAGTGAGGGACGAGAACAAGCCTCAAGAAAATATTGGGGAAAATGTAAAAGAACTGGGTAATAAACGTGGGAGAGGTTTGTTAAATGATTTGGTCGTGTTACTTAAAAATGAAGCGAGAAACTCAGTATTTATAAACAGAATGATGTTCTCCAATAATAGGGATATCCTAAAAATAAAATCAAAACCATACAGCTGTTGTATGAACATTACATGTATATACATATATATAGTGTTCGACATATACATAGTCTTCCATCCAAGTGACTCTTCCCGTCCTTCCATCGACTATATTTCTTCGGATCTTCTCTGCAACAAACTACCAAACACCGAAGTATCCTACATTTAAAATTCTTAATCCACTCACAGAAAACAAGACACCGTCTTTTTGAACTCTATCTCCCTTCTCACAGAACTGAAACCTTTGAATGCTCCTTTTTTTCTCGCTCAACCATATTCTGGAATTCCTCACTTTCCAACATACGCCATACCTATCCCTATCCTCATTCAAATCTCTCCGTATTTATTACCTTCTCTTCTTCCAAACAGATGCTCTCCAATCTTCAAATTTTAATTTAATAATAAAATAAAGATTCTGAGTGAATAATAGTTTAAATACCGGAAGTGGGGTAGCACTGGAACTGGGTGAGTAACTTTGGAACAGCGGATAAAATTTAGTTTGTATATATATGTATATATGTAGGCATGTATCTTGCGGCAGTTTGAGAACCCTTGTTCACTACACTCGTTGTGCAGTTAAGTTTTATTTATTTCCGTTGTTTTTTTAAAATTCTAGTTTGATGAAACTTTCGCTTGTGGCTCAAGAGTAGTGTTGTGCCCCAAGTTAGCTCAGTACATACCTACAAAAAGCAGTATGTAGACTGAACCAACACAGTGTATCCACCATGGAATCACCACAAACTAACTTTAATCCGCTGTCCCAAAGTTACCCATCCAGTCCCAAAGGTATATAATCTTTAACTTTAAGGATTCATTCATTGTCATTACCTTCTCTATTTATCACTTTATTTTTCATTCCTTTATTAATTTATTTACTATTATTTAAATTATTAATTTTGGCTGTTCATTTCATTTATATTTTTTCTAGAATTGATTTTATTTCGTTTCTCATATATGTTAGATTTTTATGAAGTATATAATGATTGAACATTGATTATGATTATTTTTAACCCGTGTTATATTTTATTTATCTGTAAAAATTTTTTTATTTTTATGAAATGTTCCATATGTTTCCGATTTGGCCCAATCCAATCCTTCCATAACAAACTGCAGAACCATCCGAATCCTCTCGTTTCAAACCTTGCTTCAAACCTCCTCGATCCCTGATAACCCTCGAAGGCGTCTGAAAATAAGATGGCCTCGGGACCTTCTAATATAGAACTTTAATTTGAGTTCTACCAAGGTAGTTTCTCTTCATGTTTTACATGCCATGTTACCAATGTCACATTTACTTATTGTATTTTCTATATAATACAGTTGTAAATTTCATTAAAATAAAAAATTTATGAAATTTAGTTCCACAATCAAATTTATTTCCTGTTCTCTTCCAGCCGATGCTCCCATCTGTTTTAGACCTTATCCAATAAATTTTTCAAAATTTCGCCAAAATCTTGCAGATACATTTTTATACATCTCATATACATTTTATAGAATCTTCCACCATCCTTACAACTCTGCTTCATTTCATATTAATTAACATTACTCATGTCCTAAGTTGTGACAAATTGTAATATTATTCAATAAAAAAATGTAGTTAAAAAAAAAATAATATTAAATAAATCTATTTTATAGTATATATTAGCAAAATACTGCCTATCCACAATAGCTATTATGTTTCGTTTATACATTTTTCAGAGTGAAAATATATTTGAAGCAGCTTATTGCAATAATTGGTACAGCTTAACCTTATTGGATCGAAAAAAATTACTGGCATTACTGTTAGTTTCATCAAAGCCTCTTACGCTCTCCTATCGGCACTTGATTACATTTGATTTGGCACTCTATGGAATCGTAAGTCACTCACGCCCTCATTAAGAGTATTTTATTTACTTAGAATAAAACCTATGTTGTTTAATTTATTTTCCTTTCATGCTTTACAGATACTGAAAGGTGCCTATTCCTTGGTTACTGTGTTGCAAACAATGGAAAACGTTTAGATCTGGAATCTGTAGAATTCTATTTCATATGATAGCAATTAGATCTTGTCTAATAATATGTAGTGTCACAAAAAGAATAAATTTCACTAAAAATAATGTATTACTATGATCGTAATGTATATTTGAAAGAGGAATAATGTATTGATGAAGAACATGACGTACTCTTGTTTGTTTGACTTTATATTTTTATTTTCATTATTAAATGATACATAAATAGTATTTTTAGTGTTATATTTGTAGCTTATCGTTTTGAAAAGGGTTATATGTAGAAAATTTTCATCAGATGTTCAAGTAATTGAAAATACCAGCAAGCAAGATACCAAAGGCTGTGTGACAGATATGAATCAGCCAGTAAGCGCAGCGATTGTCCCAGAGCTTAAGCTTTTGAGCACCTGTACGTTCTCAATACCTAAAGTTTGGGTGAAAAAATATGTTAAATAGTGACAGCATAATAATTTAACATGATACATTATTCAAAACTGTCGGCTTAAGCCGTTATATTTAATATCTTAATTCAAGGAATAAAATACTAATCTAACTTTTTTTAATTTTACTTTTTAAAGTTTTTTACTCACAATAAAGTTTTTTTGCAAAATTCTAAGAACAAAAACGGTTCTTTGATCATGATTGGACGGAATTTTGAAGGAAGAAACCAATTCACAAGATACAAACCTCGTGGTTTTCTTATCTTATATGAAAAATCTAAGTTTAATACATAACTGGAAATAGAATACGTTTCTATGAAAATTTAAAAAAAAAAGTAACCAAACCTAAAAAATAATCAACTTTTGATCATTTTGCTGAAATATAAAAAACATAAAAAGGCTGATAAAAAATATAATAAAGTTAGGTTTGGATAAAATGGAAATATATTTATATGGAAACCTTTTTTTTTTAAGGCCATTTATTAACATTTGAGTTCAAAAAACGTGCATGGCTCCATTCTGTTAAATCCTATTCGATTATTCGACTATTATATTTTTCAGATGAGAAAAATAGCTTCTTATTTCGCACTACGTAAGTATAGAAAAACGTGGAACTTATTTTAAAAGTATAAATAATATAAAATATAATAATAAAAATGAAATATTATTATTACAATATTTATATACATATATAGAGATAGATAGATAGAAAATAACTTTATTCTGGGATACAATCCCTTGAGAATAAAAAAATAGAACAAAATTAAAAGATTACATTTGGTCAAAACAAAATCAATCGAAAAAAATAAATAATGTAAAGAAAATATAAGGTATTCATTTGATGTACAAAACAAATGAAACTATATACAAAACAATTAACACTATGACAAGACACTTAAGCTATTTGCACTGATAGACAAGTATACATTTTTAAGAAAACAATAAAGAATTAAAAAATAAAAATATATTAAATTCATTATTAAAATAAGCGTTGTGTTTCTTTTGAGAAAACAATCTGACAATATAAGGTGCCTGACAAAATATGACACTTTATATATATATAATACATTATCATTTAGCATTGATATTTGACAATGACTAGCATGAAACAAATGTATGTTGTCGAATGGTTAGCAACTATCTGACTGTTTTTGGGATAGGAACTGGAATATGAGGATTTTGAATGTGGATATGGATGGGGAATGTCGAATTTTGATAGGGAGGGAATTAAAGAAATTCACAGAGCGAGCAATAAAGGAGTTTTGGAATGAGGCAGTATATACAATATATTTCACATATACAATATATTTCACAAATAATATACTGAAAGAATGAAACCTGAGCTGATCTACAACTGTAGAACTTTAAAAAAATTGTTATAGTGAGAACTGAGGAATGTTCTCAACGCTATATAAAATCATTTAAACTATTATAATCTATAATTAGTCATTATTAAAGGAAACCTCTGACCCATTAGGATTATGTAGATGATAACTAATATACAGCACGAAATATCATTCAGAACTGATTTCTCAAAGAGAAAGTCTTCTATAAGCTACTAGAAACATCACTTTTGAAAATCGTTTCTTTGCGTCCCGAATATGTTACCTAATAGATTTTTATAGAAATGCTGATTAGCTCCACTATTCAATATTCATAATATATCAACTTTCTGGTACATGGTCAAGTTCGACCGTGGCACATACGTTATTTATTAAGCTTCAATCCATCAGCTCATACCCAACTTAAAAACATTGACTTGATCCTGCTTAGAATACATCTTGCGTAACGGTGTTCAAAAAACAGTTTCTTACCTGGAATCTTACTCAAGACCGCATCTTGCACTGTAACAGTTTGTATAGCAGACCTTACACGATCAGTCATGAATGACACTCACAAGACTGACAAGGACTGCTACAATAATAATGAATTATACACGTATTAATCATAGTGACGCCATTCTAGATTAGTTGATGTGATAACAGGCAATATGGATCTGGTGCATTGTCCATTAAAATTAATGTATTTAATTAAAAAAGCCTATTTTACCATTATCCTTTATAGCATTAGACACTAAGAGAAAAGTGTAAACATAACAATTACTTCCTAGTGTTTGAAAATCATTGTGACAAATATTAGAAAAATATAAATTTCTACTAAAAAAAATCAAGGAAAAATATTGTGAAAATAATAAATTGTTGAGAAACAAGGAGAAATAACTGAAAAATATACAGAACAATTAAAGATTTTTTTTTTGTATAAGTAAATTGATTAGTTTTCCGCTTTTTAAAATTTATTGCCCATTAAATTTATTGACTTTTTATAAAATTTATTTATAACCAGTGATATGAAAACTATTTATTTTGAATGAAAATCAGGAATGCACAATAGTTATGATATTACTAACTAATAATTAGGTTAGTCTCCCCACCTCTTTTACTTCAGTCTCCACTCCACCTCTCTTGATTGAAGTTTGATTTCTGAAAATCCGTATGTCACGTCCGTCAGTTCATCAATATGTAACTGTACACGATCAATAAGAATATCAATAGTGCATCGGAATGTAATTCCGACTGATCGTATAAGGTCGGATTATTATACTATGGATTTTTTTTTCTTACGAGGTAAATTATTTAAAATACAGTAAAGTGGTAATAAGTTTAATAAGTGGTGTAATTATCTATTGGGGAACAAATAAATAAATACAAATTATTTCAAGGTAAAATAAATACTATCGTTTTTCTTTTTTTTTTTAATTTCTGTAATTTTATCTTCGGCATTTACCGAACCATTCAGCAGAACGGTGATATATATATATATATACGCAAAGAGCGTCCGTTGCTCCGTTGCAGTAATGATTTATGTCAATCAACCAGTAAGAGAAGCAAGAGCAGCGGGGCTTAAACCAGCTTCGAATTCGGGAATCTCAAATGGGAATTCAGGTTCTGCTGCAGATGTTGCTGGAGATTCAGATGTTGTACCTAAAGTTATAGCATATTAGATAATGATGAATATTTGTAGGTTAACAAGGAATTTTTTATTTCATTCAGTTGAATTAATTAAAGTTTAATAATTAACATAAATGTTGGGCTGAAATTTGAAATCCAAAATTAAATCTATGTTTGTTTGTCTATTTGTCATTAATGTCCTCCCATAAGGGCAGAAAGGGCGGATTACCTACCTATTCCAGCCTTAGTGAGAAGGTCAACAAGATTTATTTCTAGGGTTCGCCAGGAAACGAATTTCAAGCCTCCCATGCAATCTTTAAAATTAAAGCAGATTCTAGGTTAATGAGACGCTTTAAAATACTTAGCCAATCATGGCAACACTAAAATTTTGGTAGGGAAAAAATTTTTGAGTTTCTGCGTTCTGAAAGTTTCTAATCCTCTTCGCCAATCCCATCGTGCTGAAGAAGGAAACAACCAAGGTACTTGCAATTACTGATCAGAGAAATGATTAGAGTACGTTAAAGAGACAAATAAAATCATTTTTAGTAAAAAAAAAAAAAAAATTCACATGGAAAGATTTTAGGAAATTGAATGACTAAGAACTTTGATGAATTTTTAACTAAGTCACATAGAGAAGCCATTCCCGAGTATGTCAGTCCATTAACTCATGCTTTCATCACCAAATAAATCCTGCTATTTTTGGAGTAACGTTAATCCCTATGTGTAAAATTACCCCATTTTCGGGAACCAAAATGGATTACAAACAGTTCAAAGACAGTAATATGTCAGCATGATGATTAGTTCATAGTCTGAATATAAAATGTACCGCTTAACTTGTCTGATCTATCAATACAAATCGCATTTGAAATTTTAATAAAAAGAGAAAAACTACTAAATAAAATAAAATCGTTGGAGGGTCGAATAAATAAAAACTGATAGAGAATTTTTTCACATTGGTTGAGCAATATTATAGATAAATAGTATAGAACAAGTCTTTCTAAATAACAAATGAGCTGTCAATAGGCTAAATCACGATCTTATTTTCCAATTTCTAATTGTACTACATATTTCTCACTTTTATAAAAATATTCTTTTTTTCTTAAACTATCTCACGGATCTCAGTTAATAGATCTGTCTCAATTTCTTTAAACATATTATATGATATGAAACATATATTTCGTATATTACTTGTACTAAATACGTATAGACTAATAAAAATGTGGCTAAAATGTGGTAAATGTTAAAATAAAATAAATTATTTATCTTTGCCTTCTTATTTCTGACTGATCATCCCAACCATCCTTCTCTTCATTATTCACGACAGTCAACCATTAATCCACAATTATAATAAAAAATGTACTACACTAAGTGAAAAATACACAATGTAGTAAATCCAATATAAGTCCAATTAAATGCTTACGGGCGAGCTGATAATGTAATAAAAAAAACCGTGGAAAAAGGTCTTGTAGGTCTACTATTACAGTTCTACTCAGTGGTGTGGCTTTTTAACTGTGATATAAAAAATTCTACAGAATACTAAAAATGCGCTTCGAGACAGAACGCCCTTCACTATTATAAATTCTTGTTTTAATGATTTTATTATTATTATTTTTCAATTACTGCATAAACTAAAACACTAAAGCAAGAGTCATTGTTCTTATGTATTTTTAAATTGTATTTTTATTTAAAATATTTCCAACGATTTAGCTGACGGTTTTTTTCTTTCTTGGTCAATTGCAAATAGCCATTATTGAAAATAAACAAAAATAAGTGGATGTTGAATTTATATAATGAGCCCTACAACTTTTACATCTGGAATGTTTTATTCAAATAATACGTTAGGTTGCGAGAAGAATTCGAAACAATTTATATTGGGCACTTTGCATATGGATTTAAAAATTATTTGGGGAGTTAGAGTGTAAAAGATCGTGTGTAAGTATAAAACAAGTATAAATGAGTAATGAAAGAAAGAATAATTAATAATTTATTTTTTAGAATTATTGATCTGAGATAGTTTTGTAGTTCAGTAGTAACATTTTTGCATGTGTTTACGAAAATGTGGTAATCGAAGACAATCTGTGTTGATAGTTCTTCTTTTAATCAGTTTGATATTTTCATTAATCAAACTCAGCATGTAAGAGTGCGCTGAGTTACGAGTGCGCCTGAGCTTAATTCACTACCTAAAGCTGGAGTCCGTAAGGAAAAATCAATAAATGAGTTAACATTTAAAATAGACAAGATGGTTAGTTGGTTACCTGTTGGTCAAAGATGCCTCTTTAAACTCTAAAATAGTCAACCGCTGTTTTGTACTCATATTTGTTTAATTACCTCACTAAATTATAAGTATTATAATAATTAACCAAACACTACCTTTTTAATTTTCTCAGAATCCAAATTAAAAACAAAGATAATTTTTTTTTAAATTTAATTTGATGTAGCACGTGTTAATAAATTTTCAGGAACAAACAATAGATTCTGTGATAATGTTCACCTTTGAGGAGTGTGACTATATGAACAACATTTATGTTATACATATTATATTTATAATAAGTTAACATAATACTTTATTAAAAAATGTCGATATAAGCAGCACTTCTTATTTCTAATGTATGATTTAAATACATTTTGACGAAAAAGTTGCTTTAACATCCCTATCATATTAAAACCTTAAATATGCAATTTCACTTCCGAACAATTTTTCGTTTTTCAGCTAGACTGTTAACACACACACACACACACTCGCAGACATACACACAGACCATTTTGCGGCACTTGGTTATTTGGACTCGGCGAATCTCTAAACGTGTATTTTGTTGAAAACTCAGATTCAAAAATTTTCACGATCGCAATACTTACTCTTATCATATATTAGATATTTAGGTAAGTGAAAAAAAAAAAAAAAATACAATATTATAGGGCTGATAAAAATAAAATAAAGTTAGGTTTATTTCAAATGAAATTATGTTTACCTGAAAACTTTTTTTCAAAGCTATTTATTACTATTTCGGATTGCTCGAAAAACGTGTATGGCTCTACTCTGTTAAATCCTTTTCACTTAACCGACTATTATATTTTTGAGATGAGAAAATGCTTCTTATTTCAAAGTGGGTTAGTATAGAAAAACGTGAAACTTATTTTAAAAATATAAATAATATTATAAAAATATAATAATAAAAGTGAAACATTATTATTACAATATTTATATATACAATATATTTCACAAAGAATACACTGAATGAAAGAAACCTGAGCTGATCTACAACGGTAGAACTTGATAAAATTTGTAGTAGTGAGAACTGAGGAACGTTTGCAATGTTATATAAAATTATTTAAATTATTATAATCTGTGATTAGTCATTATTAAAGGAAACCTCTACTCCATTAAAATTGTGTGTATAATAACTAATATGCAGGACGAAATATCATTCAGGGCTGATTTCTCTAAGGAAAGACTTCTAAAAGCGACTAAAACATCATCGCGCCTCCGAATTTGTGGCCTAAAAAGACTTTTTAGAAATGCTGAGTAACTTCACTTTTCAATTTACACAATATAATATCAACTTTCAGACACAGGACCAGGTCCAGCAGAGGAAAATAGGATATTTGCCTAAAAAAATTGGGACTTGAACCTGGCTAGAATAAATTTGGCATAACGCTGTTGAAGAGTTAACGAATCAGAGGCAGTGAAGACTTCATAAGTAATGATTTTATTCATAATGTCTGTTACAAATGGCATCTAACATACAGAGTAATATAGTATGGATATCTGGGTTGACTACTCGAGTTCACTCCAGGTCTCCTACAGTGAAGAGTGTGACTTCAAGAATGTAACTGCATGAGTGATTTGTTCTTAAGAGCATGGGTTTATATACCCAATAGCAAGCGGGTGAAGGGAAGTCGGAAGAGGACGGCAAAGGAAGTTATCATTTAAGTTCAAGAAAGTTAATATTTTTAAGATGAGGTCAGCTCTGTGAGAAAGTGCCCTTTTGCTGAAATCTGTTATTGTTCCCTAAGTCTTGATAATGGGTCTTGTGTCCAGTCGGTACATTCTAGATAACTATTCCTAAGAGATAGCTTGACCTGGCTATCTAAGGTTGCTTTGTTCTTTTGTCCTTTGAGTCATGAGAAACGACAATATAATACATGATTCACCAATTGGGATATTTAACAAAATAAAAGTTAAATTATTATTATTATTATTTGTTACTGATTAAGTCCATTCCGTAACTAAGAAACAGCAGTTCCTTACCTGGGGTCGTACTCAATACCGCATCTTGCACTGAAAAAGTTTGTACAGTGAACCTTACACGATCAGTCATGAATGAAAGTCACAAAACTGACAAGGATTGCTACAATCATTATGACTTCTACACGTATCGATCATAGTGACGCTACTTCAGCTTAGTTGACGTTGTGATAACAGGTAATGTGGATCTGGCGCATTTTCCATTAAAATTAACTTATTTAATTAAAAGAGCTTATTTTATCATTATCTTTTATAGCATTGGACACTAAGAGAAAAGTGGAAATATAAAAATTACTTCCTAGTGCTTGTGAAAATCGTTTTGACAGAAGTTAGAAAAATATAAGTCAACTACTTAAAAAAATAAAGGAAAAATATTGTGCTAATGATAAATTGTTGAGAAACAAGGAGAAATAACTGAAAAATGTATAGAACAGTTAAAGATATAGTTTTTGTACAAGTAAATTGTGTAGTTATCCACTTTTTTTTTAATTTATCGCCCACTTGACTATTTGAAAAAACAATTGTTGAATATCGCTTATAAAATATCAACTAGGGTTATGAAAAACTATTTATTTTAAATGAAAATCAGGAATGTACAATAGTTATGAGGCCTAGGTAAACTAACCTACCTAGTAGCAAGGCTAGTCTCCTCACCAATTTTACCTCAGTCTCACCTGCAATTCTTGTGATTGAAGCTTTGATTTCTGGATTTACGAAAATCTGTCAGTCACGTCCATCAGTACTACAATATTTAATACTTATACGATCAATCAGAATATCAATAGTGCTTCGGAATGCCATTCCGACTGACCATAATACGGTCCGCTTATCATACTATGGCTTTTTTCTTCCGAGGTAAATTATTTAAAATACAGTAAGGTGGTATTGAGAAATAAGTTCATAATCCACAATAACTTATTGGAAAAAAAATATTAAGAAAAATTATTTCAAGGTAAAATAAAAACTATATTTTTTTTTTTAATTTCTGTAATTTTTCTTTGGTATTTACCTAGCCATTCTGCTGAATGGTGATATATATCTGCGTAAATACGCCAATTGTAGTTAGTATTTTTGTGAATCAACCAGCAAGAGAAGCAAGAGTTCCGGGGCTTAAACCAGCAGCAGCTTGGGGCTGAAATGAAATTTCAGGTTCGGATGTTGATGTTGCTGGAGGTTCAGATGTTATACCTGGAGTTATAATATATCAGGTAAGTGATTTATGTTAGTAGGTTAACAAGGACTGTTGGATTTTAACTAATTTATTCAGTTTACTGTTAGACTGAGATTAAATATAAAGTCCAATATTAAATATATATTTATTACTTTATTTGTGTTTAACGTCCTCTGTGTTCAAACCTTTATCTGTGTTCAAGCCTCCCATACAATTTTCAAAATCGACGCAAATTTCAGATTAAAGTGACGCCTTAATACACTAAGCTAACCACCGTCTATCAAAAAGTTTTGACGTGAAAGTAATTTTGACCATTAGTACTCTTGAACGTTTTAATCATCTTCGCTGATTTGATAGTACTGAAGAAGGAAATAACTAATCTGTTTGCAATATCTAATCAGAGAAATGAGTACGTTTGAAGTGTGTGGACAAATATACTCGGTTTAGTGATAAAAAATCACTAATTAACATTTAAAAAAATTAAATGACTAAATACTTTGAAAAAAACCTTAAATAATCAATATAACGTACACTAATTGAACTTATTTTGAAAAAAAAAGAAATAGTTTTCGTGTTATTTTGCTTCACATTTTGGGAACAAATTTAAAATAAAAAAATTAATTGTGCTATATTTGTACATAGAGTGTGAATGTGATCTGTGAACTCTATTATAAATGTCCTAGAGACAGATTGTAATATTTTTCAATAAATAAAAAGTAATAAATGAAATTTATAAATATGTTCTTAAAATTTGAGGTCCATCCAAATTGTATTAGCTTCTCTAATTGTTTTATTGAATATAGTTTTAGTCGGGAACTAAATTCTAGTCACATAGAGAAAGCCTATACTATCTTTGGAGTAACGTTATCCTCTAGCTGTAAAGTTGCCCATTTTTTTGGTTTCAAATGTGAATACAAATACCGCAAAGCCAGAATACTTTGGTAATATGATGTTAGTTGATAATATAAAATGCGCCGCATAACTTTGATCTATCAACCTGCAAAGCCGACTGGGTGCAAATTGCACTTGAAACTTTATATTAAATAAATAAAACCGTTAGGGGGTCATAGAAAGAAAAACTGATAGAGAATTTCTTCACAGGATTTTTGATGTACTAAAAACGAATATCAACTTTGTTTCTCCCTAAAAAATGATTTACTCTATATACCAGATGGTATTTAAAAGTTATAAATTACCAATGTAGGAGTAAATACATTTTAGGGACAATCAAAGCGCGAATCTTTATTTAAGCAATCGGAAAATTAAAATTTTCTGCACGAAATTTTTGAATTGGCCCAAACCTTTTGAAAATACGTTAACAACCACTAAACTTGGGATAACATTAGAATGGCTCCATCAATCAATATAAAAATTAATAAGGATCCAGAGCTCTATAAGCTATAAGAAATGCATATAAAATTGACTTCCGCAAATAGAGAGAAACACTTTATTTTCATAAAATATAAAATATAAAGGATTGCTGCCCAATTATATTGGGTTGCTATATACACAGCATACTCTTCTATCCCTAAGACAATATATGAACTTATATATAAATATACAGAAGTATTAGTTAATATAAAAGATAAAACATAAAAAATATTGGAAGGTTTTTCGTAATTTATAATTTAAACAAGGAATGAAATATAAAAGTTATCTATGCCGGCTGGAAGGGTAGTAATTCAGTCATCCAAAGGTATTACTAATGTTGAATTTGGAGAAAATCTAGAGAAGTTATGAATGCTTTAGTTATCGGCCAGAAAAAAAACCTATAAGAAAATCAACTATTAAATTTTGAATTTTTTTATTTCTATAAAAAATTGTATTTTAGAGTTTCAAATTACACTAAAACTAATCTAACTTTCTTTTTCATAACAAAAAATTATTTCGCCTACTTTACTGAAGGCGCCTTTTGGTTATTGTAATTTATGAAACATTATAACTTATTTAATACAATAGCCAATATTCTTTTTTTTTTTATTTTTTATTCCGCACAAAAAAAAAATCGATTGATTGATATGTTGTTGGAAATCATATATATATATATTTTTTTTTTCTTGCCTCCTAGGGCCAATTTGAAAGAATGTCGGGACACACTTCTAATGTTTTAACATGTAATATCTACAAAAACAAATTTGGTTGAAATCGGTGACCCAAAGACTGTATTCTCTCATTGTAAGTGAACACGATATTATGGAGTAAGTCAAAAATAAATCGGTTAAAATCCTAAGGCCACACTGATAATCTAATTTAAAAATTCCTGTGGAAAAAATCTTATAGGCCTACTTTTATAATTCTGCTGAATGGTGTGGCTTTGTAACTTTTTAATTTCAAAAGTTTTAAAGTATACTAAAGAATCTGGTGCGCGCAACACACAACTTTCACTTCCCGTTCAATTTTAAATAGAAATTATTTTCAGGCCATGTTGGGCTATTATAAAAATTTTTAATTGTATTTTTAACTGAGCTAAAACTAAAAGATTGCAGCTAACAAATCATAAATACTATTAAAATAACAAAAGTTCTATTACTTATATCATCGGTTTATTATGGATTGTACGACTATTAGTTATTTAATTTTTATATTCCATTGCAAAGTTTACTCAAATAGAATTAAGGGATTTGCATTGTCTGCCATAGACAGGTCAAAAGTTGTCATACTGATTGTAAGTGGATTCTTTTGCAATATCGCAGAGGGAAAATATTCACTAATTTAATTTTCTAAAAGGTTACATAATGATTTTTCGGAATAAACGGACGATAGATACCTAATTATTTAAATATAATATCAGATCTAGGGTTATTAAATCACAGTGAATATATTTCAGGTTGTAAACGTACCCATGAAATATTTTTATATTTTACTTCTTATTTCACACAAGTACAATGAAATAGTATCTTTAACAATGTCATTGCCTTAAATCCGTTTAAAGTTAAATATAATATCAGCTCTATAAAATCTATAATCACTAAACTACTTCAGTATTTGTATAATGTATTTAAGGTTATAAACATAAGCTCTATACATCCATGAAATGAATTTATATTTTACTTCTTCTTTTTACCCCTAAATCCAAAACAACAACTTCTTCTTTCACACAACTACAATGAAATAGTTTTTTTTTAACAATGTCATTGCCTTGGTTAGGTTGAATTTAAATGATTTTTTAAACTTAAAAATATTTTAAAAGTTTACATTTAGTTAGTAAATTTCATTTAATTTCATTGAAAACATTAAATTTAAGTTAAATAATATCAGTTTTAAGAGATTATTAATTATATTTTTTTCACCACTCTCCGTTACCTTCTACAACATTCTATATTAGATATTTTGTTTTCTAAAATCTCCGCATTTCAAGGTATTCCATATATTATACGTATACCTTCTGACTAGTATTTCCGGAGATTCATTTTTGACCTGGATAAGCATTTTTATTTTTTTTCTCCTTTATTCAATTATCAAATTCTTTCAAAAGTTATATTTAGCATTTTTTCGTAAATTTTAACGAGAGATAGTAAACTATTTGAAATATTAAAGGTACTATACAGGAAGACGTATATGAACATTGGACATTTAAGCCCTGTAAAGTGATATCAACGGGGATGAGTTCTATTAAAGACCACTTAATTATACAATGATACACCGAGTTTAATCAAAATCGTTAGAGCCGTTTTTGAGAAAATTGTAAAAATGTAATTCAGCGTTGAAATAAATTGGCACTTCCGGTTATCCGATTTTAAGGAAATAGTTGCTACGAAATCTAAGGTATACCTATCTTTTTTTTTATTATTGTTTGTTTAATGAAATTTACAACTATATACAATAACAACTAGTATATATATGCAAAAATTAGAAATAGTGATATGAACAGGCTTGAAGAGATACTACCCAATGGTAGCACTCCCTAAATAATTATAGGTAAGTAGATCACGAAGCCATCTCCTTTTCAGACGCCTAGGAGGATTATCAGAAATGAGGAAGAAGCAAGGATGGAAAAAAGGAGGAAGATTTGGATGGGACTGAAGTTTATCATGAAAGTATAGATATCTGGCTCGGGCTAAATCAGCGACATATGGTACGTTAAGGTCTTTATGAATGGTTTTATTTGTAACGAAGTATGGAGCATTAAGGATTTTGGAGTTTAAGGATTGGATACTATAGGAAATATCTTAAATACGTAATATCAGTTTCGTACGACTTTACGTTTTCGAGCTAGAGTGTTTACATACATACAGACACACAGACCATTTTTCGGGACTTGGTTATTTGGACTCAAGGTACCTCAAAACGTATATTTCCATTGAAAACTCAGACTCGAAAATTTTCACGATCGCAATACTTACCCTTACTACATATTACACATATAGGTAAGTGAAAGCAAAATGGCTCTTCTAAACAGAGCGTGTTACGCTATTATAAATTCTTATTTTATCAAATTTATTGTTATATTTCAGTGCATTTGTAAACTGGAATATTAGAGGAATGAAGCATAGTTTTATGAATATTTTAAATTATATTTCTAATGAAAATATTTTCAACAATTTAACTGAAGGGTTGATTTTTTTTTCCTGGTCAATTAAAATGTTTCATTATAGAAAATAACCAAAAGCAAATGGTCGTTGAGTTAATATAAATAGCCCCACAACTTTTACATATGAAAATTTGTATCTAAATGAGAGGAGCATTTGAAAATATTTATATTGGGCGCTTTGTATATGGATTTTAATATTATTTGGGAAGTTAGAATGTGGAAATTGTGTGTAGGCGCAGAACTGGAAAAAAAAGAGTAATGGAAGAAAGGACAATTAATACTTTTTATTAGTAGAATTATTGATCTGAGGTAGTTTTGTAGTTCAGTGCTAACATTTTTGTAAGTGTTTATAAAGAGGTGGTAATCGGAGAGCATCGATGCTAATATTTCTTCTAATCAGTCTATATATATATATGAAACTCAGCCAGTAAGAGATGCGAGTGCGCCTGGGCTTAATCCACTACCTAAAGCTGGAGTCCCTAAGGGAAAATTAAGAGATGAGTTAACATTTGAAATAGACAAGGTGGTTAGTTGATTACCTATTGGTACAAAGCTGTCCCTCTAAACTCTAAAACAGTTAACTTCTGTTTGTTCTCATATTTGTTTAATAACCTAACTAAATATTAAGAACTATAATAAGTGACCAACCATTAACTTTTTAATTTTCTCAGAATCCAAA